GCTACTAACACCCCCAGCCCCCTTTTTAAAGTTTTGAACCCCACCCCCCCCTTCCCTTGAAAGCCAGTTTCATTGTTGTCAATGTCTCCTGAAGCCAAAAAAAAAGAAGTCTCCTGAAGCCCGTGCTTCCTGAAACCAAAAAAAAAAAAAAAAAAAAAAGACCCACTTTTGGGCCCAACCGGCATTCCGGTTGGACCACGGGGGGTCCAACCGGCCCGGTTGGATCCAACCCGGTCCAACCGGCCGGTTGCGGACACAGCCCTGCTTGATTCATTATCAAACCGAGCTGACCCAGGTGAATCCTGAGATATTTTGCCCATCTAACTCCATCAGGATGTGTGCTAAAGCTCTTGCACAACAGTTAGTGTGCGGTGCATTTCTTTTCATAGGGAGAATGAAAAACACGGATAAGTAGGCCTCCGCCTATTCCTGGCACTGGCCTCTTGTCTGTTAGTTGCCACACACTACTATCTTCAACCGAATAAAACGCCCGGTCATTATTGCAGTATCTAGACTGAAAGTTGCCCCAAAAATACAACCGGCCGTTATATATTCAGGTGAACATGGTAGGCTGGCCGGTACAGTTTTATGAGCTCGGATGATTCAAATTTCAGGCTTGACAAAATAGGCTCGGGAGGACTGCTGGCTTAAACCACCAGTACTTGGCTCATACATCAGCCGTTGGTCGCTCACGGTAACGCGCAGTGAGTTTTGGGCCTGGGTGGCTGTTGATAAATCTCATCATGGCGCTATACACAGGAAGGAAGCGCCAGGTCCAGACATACACAGACGAAGAGGAGGGGATCAGACGAAGAAGAGGGGGAGAGATGGGAATGTCGTCAACACCAAGACTTTTCACAAGTCCCAAATAATCCCTCGTCGAAATGGCTGAAGCCCAAAAGTCGAGTCTGGATCCAATGTCACCAAGCTCTCTCTCTCTCTCTTTCTCTCGTAGTCTGCTGATGCAGTGAAGTCAGATAATGAGAGGGCAAGAGGGAGATGGTGGACTGAGAAGAGGAAGAAGAAGAACTCTCTCTCTCTCACGAGCCAGGTACTAACCTGTGAAGTTGGCGCTGTGCTGCAGGTACCTCGAAGACGAAGCTGGAGCAACGGCGCTGCAGGTAAGTACCCCTGGCCTCCGCCCAATCTCTCTCTCTCTAGTACTATCCTAGCTATGGCGCCCAGCGCTGAAGACTACAGCTACGCTACTAGCGCCCAGCGCTGAAGACTAATGCTAACGCTACTACTACTACTGCAGCGCTCCTCCAGAGTGCTGCTGCCGAATCCTGAAGACTACTG